CTCACCAGTCACCCTGTATATGTAGTACTTTTGTATCGAAAATCACGATATTTTTCATTAATTTTGACAGTATATAACTATAGTTTGAGTTTCTTAATAATATTAAAGTTAAAAATCTGAAATAAAAAGTCATATTGAATGAAAAAGACTCGCGTTCCAACCCTAAAGATATACTACTAATTAAATCAATATTTTTAATCAAATTAATTACATTTAATATTTGATTTGCATAAAGGGTTCTTGAGCAAAGTTTCATAATCTCTTTAAATGAATTATTAAATGTAAATTATCTTAATTAAATGAATATTTAAATATAATCTAATGTATCAACCGGTCGGACTTGTTTGTTTCACGTGACCATATTAAGTTTAATTATCTCAAGATTTATTTTAAACTCAGATCTGTTAGTCCTTTAAGAGTTTTTTGAACGTATTTTTTATAACTTACATCTCGTTTTGAGACGGATAAAGTTTAAGCATTGTTCATATTAAAACACCGTCACGATTTGTGACTTTTGCTAGTTAAATGAAGGCATTAAAGTATTTTTTTATTTCTCTCTAGGAACTCCATCTTGTTAGATAGTATCGTTAACGTTTATGACTATAAATATATGAAGAAGTAATGATTACTTGAAGATGCTTCTCGTGAGAAACAATGAAGAACAAGAGTAACTTTATACAAATACTATAGCTATCATAGAAATATATTGAAAAGGTTAAAAATTAACGACACTCACCACTTCAGACAAACCTGCTTTAAATAATATTGTTATACTTCTTTTCTACAATTTTTAATAAAAAAAGAAAAAAGCAAGGAGGAACATTCAAAATATAGCGATATATGATTGAATACATTTACGATACGTCTTTTCGGATACGTCTATGAGATTTGAAAAAAGTCATTTGAAACAGAGATATTGGCTTTTTATATATATAAAAAAAAATATAAGTTAGACAAGGGCCAATTAAATCTACACTTGGGTCGCAAGTCCTAGCTACTGTTAAAGCTCCTCTCCCTGCAACGTGATGGACGGTGAATACATTGAATACTATGAGGTTTCTCTAAAATAATTTAATTTTCAGCATGACACATTAGACACTGTTTTGATGTTAAAATACTATATAATTCCTACATCATTCTTAATACAAGTTTGCTTCGTTATGTAACTCACGAAACCTTTAATTAACCTACTTACGTTAATACTATATTATTATTAATGAAAAACTATTAACGCCCGTACGAAGTGACGATGCGAAGTAGGGGTAATCATACTGAAAGGAAGATTCGCTGGGCTTTTTGCAAAGAATTGACGAAATTAATGAAATTGGAACATAATACATTGAGGTCCTATTTTTGGATTCCATTGTTCAAGTTGGACAATATTATTTTTCGTAAGATTTGGAAACAACGCCATCTGTATATATTTTTTAATAATAATTTGTTACGTCAACGAATCCCACGGGAATTGACGGAGAAAAAAAAGTTGTTGATTTTTTACTATATAAAATATATTTAATATTTTTTTGTTTAAAATTATTAAATAAATCATATGAACTCGTTATAAATATAATTATAGTTTTAATTCAGGCTTCTCGTTAATAGTTTATGGTTAACAAATCGTCCGTTTTTCATTCAATACGACGCTTTATTTCAGAATTTTTAATAAAATCCTATCATCCTTGATACTCAAGAGTCAAGTCCATTTCCAAGTTAATAGCTCAAAGAGTATATTTTGACAATCTCAAGAGACGCAACACATGGCTGACGATTAATTCAGATTAATTGCGAAATATCATCAATATCAAAAAACGAAAATTTGTTAATTTAAAAAAAAAACTTTTTTACTATTGAAAATCTATTTATAGTATAATAGAATATGAACAAATGACAAACGTCCATTTATTAATATAATTACCACATGTTTGTCACGTCACAGTACATAAAAACTTTAAGTTTTCAATATTAAATCTTCGCACATATAAAATAGGTTATTAGATCAAAAACCAATCATTTTTCGTGTATAATACGAACTAGTAAACACACAGCTAGATTATTCGAACATCTTTTTTTCCCTTTCCTTGTTAATTAAAACAATTATTTCAAATATATTATTCACCTTATCTTCATGACGTTATTTCAGAATCACATTTCAAACTACATTTTTTTTCTATGAGGGGTGTGTCTGTCAGTAATGCGTTGTTATTGGTCAATATTCTAACGGTTTTTAATGTTATTGTATTTGAATGCATTCTTAACTGACGTAAACATGGCGGCTGACCATAAATATTATTATACAACAAAAAAAACTTAACTGTAAAAAAATATCTGGTATATAAAAAAAAATTATAGTATTTTAAGATCGTATAGTTTCCGTGATATGAGTATATTAAAAATATATAAGTATATATCTATTTTTATTGATATGAAGTAAAAAAATATTTTTTATTATTATCTCAAAATTAAACTCTTTGTCTATGAATCATATAAAGTATAATAAAATGTTTTATCAAAGACAACTTAATAATATACTGACACAAATAAAAACTCTGTTTTCAAACTGTAAAACTAAATATAAAAAATAAAGGAAAAGGAATAAATTACATCTGATATAAACATGAATCACGTTCATTAATTAAAACAATATAACATTCCCGAAATAAGCAAAATATGGAATCAAAAATCAAAATGGCGGACGCATTTATATCCCAATCGCATTAAGAGCGGTAGGTTCATATGTTTTTTTTATCTGTGGGCGGGCTGATATCGGTCGATAGTGAGCACACGCCCTTACCCCAGCCTCCCCTGACCTACATCGGCTTGGGGATGTAAGGGCAAATATTATGAAATAAGCTTTATAACGGTCAAAGGTTAATCTGCATGTACGTGAGAAACTTCTGAGATGTTAGAAGAAATTAGCTCGTATTAATAAATGTACACTTTTATACTCTGTTTATAAATATTAATATTATTTTTTACAAAATCAATTATACTATTGAACGAATTTTTTTTAATAAGTGACAATAAATCAAAAGTTAATGGAACTTTTTAAACATTGTATTGGCTTTACTTTAATTTTTTCACGTTCAGTAAAGTGATATCGAAGTTATTACTTTGTAACAAATTAAATTATCATTAGAACCAATATTGTAACTACTTACTTTGTTATTTTTGAAATAATCAGTAATGAGAGTAGTTTCATATATTTGTAAGTTTTTTAATAATGTACTTCATTCATTTCAAATTAAATTAGCTTCTAGAATATTTGTTTTCAAAAGTATTATTTAAAACAAAGAGATAAATTCTAAGCAATTAATGAAAAGAAATACAATTTAAAAACCGACATTTTGTTTGTTTTTGAACTGCTTTAATATTTTCAAATTTATAACATATTTAAATGATACTGCATGATGTACAGAGTAATTATACCGCGGTACCAACCTTCACATATATCTGACCACTTCCGGCTATCAGGTGACATAACAGAATAAAACTATGGATTTTGACGTTATCTATACATTACAGATTAAAAATATACTTAACAATAATCAAATCTTTTACTAAAACCAAATTAAATGAAATATAATCAATTAGTTAAAAAAAGATTAGGTATTATAGACCGTAAAATGTTTTTTTATAACTGTATTGAGAATAAACTATTAACATTCATCCGTAAACGGAACACATTACCATAGACATCGGTAGCTATAATCTGTATTGATATATAGCGGTGATGAAACATTTGTATTCCACAAAGAATTAATGTATTGAATAATCTTCTGCATTCTATTGTTTCAAAATAAAATCCTTTTTTACAGACTCTTGAATAAAATACAGTAAAAAGTAACTTTATATTAGGTGAATTTTGTAAATCAAAATTTACAAACCATAGACAACGTTAGAAAAATATCTGTCACATTTCATAATTACCAACGGAAAAATCCAGATGAACAATTTCGTACATTGAATCAAGTTCTTCGAAGAGTTTTCAATTCATTTATTAATAAGTACCTATTCGTACTTGAATTAATTGCATAAACTGTCCTACCAATCCTATTATACAAGGTCTTTTAATTATCACGACAAATAAGACAATTAACCAAAACTCCATATATATTTGAGCAATGATTTTTTAAATCTTTTTGCAATGTTTGAATTAAGTTACAGAAGCCTTACCATCACGGACTGGGGGAACCGGTTCGAATTTACACACAAAAAACCTCACTTATATTACAATCAATTATAACTCAACCTTATTTTAATGTCTTTATATTTTATCTATGAAATCCATTGTTATTATTAATGCTTTTTTAATCTGTTTAAGTTTTTATTTAATCATGATTTATTTCGTTACATAATATTATATATATGCAATTTAAAATTTCCCGTAACTTCAACTCGTATTGCCAGTCACACGTTTATATAATGCTTTTTAATTATCGATAGCTGGTTCTTTAAAAGTATAACTATTTGCAGAATTACATTCAGCTTCTTCAGGGTCAAATTATAATAAGTAACACATGTAATATAAGTCTATAATATCTAGATATTAGAGGCACTATAACGCATGTATTGAAAAACAACCAAATTATTTGCTTTTGTGATTAAAGCTTAGCTGTTATAGGTAAGTAGGTATGACGTTAGACAAAGACTGATGCAAGGTGACTCAAACAATTTTGTCATATTAGTGTTTATTAAAACTAAGCCACGTCAAAATTTTGATTATAAACGTAAAAGTTATATTGGACGCTTACATAGTATTACCATTTATATCCGAAAATAGAAACATTGATCCATGGATCCGAAGGAAGCGAATTATTGCGATACCAATCTATGTGTGTATTACGACTGACGAAATAAACATCACAGTTGAAAAAAAACGAACTATTGCATTATTATTACCTTGTTATCTGGTTGTGATGCTGTGGGGGTGCACTCGCGGCGTAAATTGCGCATTTAAAATGTAACCCTTAAGGAAATATTTTCGATAAGGTAACACAAGACTAGCCGACGCGGCGGCGCGCAGCGGAATCGCGGCCTCGACCTTGGCCGTCAAAGCCGCGCATGCGCCCCGGCCCCGCTCCTCCGGCAATTATGTCATTATGTTTGCTGCTGTTGTTGCCAAACAGTCGCGCTTCGCTGGACGCTGGATACAGATTCTTAACATGTTTCATATTTTGAATTAATCGTTGCAGTATCTTGATTTCTTACTGTGAATGCTTTCTTATACATTTCAAGCGCTGAATTCCAAGATGCTTATTATTTGGGTTACTAATTTTTACAATACGATTGTATACTTTCAGACGTAGTCAGGTGTTTTGTAAAGATAATTTTCCTTTGTCTATAAAATATAGACAAATTAACTGATTAGATAAGTAAAATTGTTCAATTATTTGACTAACATGCGCATAAAATATATAATATAATAAATTTAACAAAATTAATAGATTGTATGCAGTTTGTATAAAGTAAATATAATGGACATATAATAAATTGTAAGCGAACTTGCATATTCTAAATTTTCTAATAATAAATATAGCATCACACGTTTTTACATGACGTAAGAGAATGTTGATTTACGTGCAAGATACAAGTAAATGAAGTTGCGAGCTCCGACGATTAATAAATATTTATAACAATGAGATCCGCGGTGAAGTGATTTGTTAGATTAATGTTAGTAACAAAATGATCATCATGTGAATAAATTTAATAAAATTAATTGTTGCTGCAGATGATTAATGTTATTTTAATATAAATGCAATCGAAAAATACCAACACAAATAAATGTATAATTTTCTATAAAACCGCCACCTATTAGATTTAACGGATACTATCTTATTTGCTAATTTGTTAAATCACTTTCAATATTCTTCAAAAGATGGCGTTGTTTAATTATTTCAAATCTTAATGTCTCATTGAACTATACATATTAGACCAGTGCCGATAGCTTTTAAAAATAAATAAATTAATTATAAATAAATTGAAAGAGCATTTTTCAAACGATATCGAGTGTCATTTCATTAAAAGGGACATGATTATTTTATCCAAAAATGGTACTGCAAGTATGAAATTTATATTTTTTTCTTCTCCATCGCTAAATAGAGATTTCAACAAATTGAAAACATACAAATACAAATTTTTGAAAATAGCTGTTATTTTGACGGGTGATTTTTCGATTGAAAATGAGGCTGATTTTTCGGTATTTATTCAAAATAAGCTGAAAAAATAAATATATCTAATCAAATAAATTACAGTGCATTTGTAACATCGAAAGGAAAGTATTCACCAAATTTCGTGACAAAAAATGGTTTTTTATACGAGATAAAAATAAAAAACCAAAAACTTGGTTTTTCGAATTTATTACATAAATTTTCAGGTTATGTGAAAAAAATGTTAGTACAAAAGTTTTAGATCTTTTTATTACCTACAACTTTGCCATATAACATTTTTCCATAGGACTTTTAGTTTTGCCAGAAATCGAGAAAACCCATTTTTTACCCTTAAATACCCATCCCCATACCCTTCCCGACCTCAGATCGCCCGTAAATTATTTTTCCCTTAATTTTTAAAATATTCCCCTCCTTTTCTAATGGGTTTCATTCTACTATAAATTATTTTCACTTTTCATCATTTTTAGAGGCATCTGCACTGGCCTAATATATGTATGTATGATATAAATTATAACATACAACATGTTCATTAATGAACATGCGAGAGAGAAAATAAATAACATGTTTATCTTTTTCTGGGTCAGTAGTGTGTAACTTAAAAAAAGGCTATTTATAAATAATTTCCATATTTTTTAGTTTATTTGTACTTTTTAACAATGAGTGTAACAACAAAATGACGAGTGGCTGTTTGGAGTGTAATTTTCCACATAACCCATAGATGGCGACACTATGAATTAGTCCGATAAAAGATAAGTTCTTGTAATGACTAATGGGTATAATAGTTAAGACACATAACTATCCTTTTTATATCTATTCAATTAGCACCTGACATCAGTGCAACTGACTTATTATTATTGTCATATATGACGGAACATTTTTGTATTAACTGGGGCCTAAATAAAACAAAAAATATATACCATCTAAGCAATGTCAAATTTAATTAGTCAAATGCATCAATGATACAGTTTTCTTAATTTATAAAAATATCTTGTCCAATTATTCAATACACGAACCGAAATGTGACTATAACTTTCTTTCATAAAGGCATTTTTTTCAGTAATCTATGAAGAGTTAATTGCTTAAAGTAATAAAGATTTTAGAACATTAAGAACATTTCCGAATTCTTTGATCATATAGATATGAAGCAATGATATGTTCTGGAAACAGACTGAAAAAGTTCTTAGATTGGGTTCAAACTTCAATAATGTAGTGGTATAAGCCAAGCTCAGTGATGTACCGCGGCCTGGCTAAGACCAGGAGAAGGTAAGGAGGGATTTTAGTTAGTAGGAGTTTGACACTAACTCTTGGGCCACCCAGTATAAGGATCGTTTGATGACTTTCCCTCTTAAAAAGTGTTTTAAACCTTCATCAATATATTAAAAAAATCTAGGTGTTAATGCCTTTGTTTTAGTAAAACGTTTTTTATTGAATTAGTCCGTTGAAAGTCGGTTAATTTTCGTCTCGTAAGGCACTTGTTACTTCTTTTGGTTGAAATGATTCGTGCAAGGATATGATAAATGTATGTAATAAATGATACAATAGCTTTTTATAACTTTTATTTTCATAACACGGATCTGAGATCTCTAGATTTAAAATATATATTATGATCATAACTCATTGCTTTTTTCTTATTCATGTATATTATGTATATGTATATTTATGTACTTTATACCATGTATATATTTTAAATGTTTCTTTAACTTCTGTGCACATCCTACTTACTACTCTCTTTCACTATTCTGGGTTGGCTGGCAGAAAATGCTGTAATAGCGTTAAGTCCGCCCTTTGTACATCTCTTTCTGTGCAATAAAAATTAATAAAAAAAATAATAATAAATATATACTCAAAAATTTGTATGACTGTTTGTGAAATTATTTTGTTTGACTAATTTGTTGTAGTATTTTTGCTTTTAGAGAACTAGAAACAGTTGTGCTCTACATAATATATCAAGAAATTTCATTCCTAATATGCTATTAGCACAATAAGACTTGAAGATAATTCGAAAAATTGTTCTTGCTTCACTAGGGGTAGGTACTTACTAATTGAATATATTTTTAAATATTTATGTTTATTTAAACAATGGATGAGGTGAAATTTGTAAGTAATAAAGGTAAGGTAGATCAAACTTATTAAACAATATTCAAGCTGACGTACAGTGGTTGCCTGTAAAGGTGGCACTTCACTTAAATATTTGTACGTGGTCCAAATAGCGCAAACACGACATCCACACTTTGCATGCCAACAACACGTCTTTACGAGTTTTCGCTCATTTGTGTATGTGTCTTATTTGTGCTAATATGTCAAATGAAGACGAATAAATCATCCACATATGGTCTTATTTGGCCGAACACAAAAAATAAACGCCAAGTGAAGTTCCACCGTAAAAATGTCATGACTCATGAGATAGCTTTCTGAAAAGCTAATCTTCTAAGATACCTCGACATTTTATGTATGTATAAAATATTAATTTATTTTTACATATGAAAGCTTGCTTCATTATACGTTGGTTTCAATTACCATTTTATTAAATGAACGTATTTTCTTTGTATTATTATTTTTTAATTTTAATTCAAATTGGCTTGTGAAATTGATACATTATCACAAAATATTATATTAAAGAAGCCTGTATTTTAATTTTAGATCTGGAAAGTTTTAGTATAGAAAGTATTATAAATGAAAAAAGTATTTCCCAAATTCTTCCTCAATATTATCTAGTAGGGTATAGTCGCCATATTTCGTCCCCAAGCCTAATTTCGTCCCCATTGGTTTCTTTTTTTCTAAGTAACATCATCTAGTTTTAATAGTTGAAATCTAAAGTTACTTACGTCAGTCGGCCTTTGTAAAACTTTGGCGGTGGAATAAAGCTCCTGTCTGGAGATATTAAAAAAAAGAAAAAACTGTTCAAGGTGAGTTTTTGAATGAAATATTATATGTAATGTCTAAATATAGACCTGTTTGACTTATTAAAACCAAATATTTGTCAAAAAGTGTTCTTAACGCTTAGATTTAAATCGATTATAATTTTATTTAGATTATGACATGTGTTTCTTGGTTAATGGAGGTTGACAATAAAATTGGCAAATTCCTAATATCGTCCCCTATCGTGAGCCTAATACCGTCCCGGGGACGATATTTAGATCACTTCGTCATTCACTGTCGTGCACTTTTTGTGACTATTTTTATATTTATTTATTTAATTTGTAGATGCCAAAAAGAAGGTAATGGGATCCTGAAGCAATGAAACTAAAGCAGATAAGAAATGGATGAAGTTATTTATGGCTCATCATCCTAACTTGTCTTTTCGCAAACCAGAATTTCTATCACGAGCTCGCAAACATGGTTTTACTGCAGATAATGTTAAATCCTTTTTTGACATGTTAGAACCTGGATTAAAAAAGATTAATTTTAACCTCAATAAAATATTTAATGTAGACGAAACAGGGATCACAACGGTTCAGCATAAAGTGAGAAAAATCCTTACGACGAAAGGCAAGAAAGCAATTCACAAATTATCGTCTACTGACCCAATTTTAGTTTCTACTGATGAAGAAAATAGTGATGATAATGACGCTGAATGCCCAGTTTGTCATAAAAGTTTTTCATAAGATAAAAAGGGAGAGAAATGGATAAGGTGCACAAAATGTTTCTAATGGATGCATGAGGATTGCGTTGATAATCCAAGAGCTAATTTTATTTGTGCGGTTTGTTTTGAGACTTAAAATTACTTAAACTAAACCAAGGATTAATAAAATTCTCATTAGATTATTATAATAATAATGATTACGAATAATAACTGTTAGAAATACAAATTAAGTTTACGTACTGATTATTGTGATCTCAATATCGTCCCCGGGACGTAATTAGGAGCCCAAAAAAAAAAGATGTTATATTAGAAATTTTTGTAAAAGCTGTTTTTGTAGGAAAAGTAAATAGTTTATTTAGTTATTGACTATGTCAAATAATAAAGCAATGTTTACTTAAAGTTTGATGTTTTATTTATTAATCTACTCCTTATATATTTTTTATATTTTCTATTTTTCAAAAAGGGGACGAAATTTGGCGACCATACCCTACTTAATTAATAGATTTTCAACATTATTAGTTCGTGCCATAAAGTTTAATCATCAGCTACAGATCTTTTATTTGAAAAATATCAATCACTCCTAATAAATGTTTAAATATTATATAAATCACTTTCATAAGAATTTATTCGAAACTTCTAAGAACACATATTAAATTGCACATTGCATTAGCGCTGCGAAATGAATGATATAATTAATTAATATATTTATATTTATGCAATTATTAATTTTTATATAATCACGTCAAGGTCTAGAGGAAAATTATTATAATTATTTCTGTATTATGATGAAACAACACTCTTTTGTTAAATGTTAATCAATTACGTATATGCATTTTTATGATTTATAAAATAATTTAATTTAAAAAAAAATAAGAACTATTAAAAATATATAGAATAAATTAAAGACTTGCATCATATGGATTTGTTTTTATTTCTATCTTAAAACTCATTAATATTAAAATAAAAAATATATTTACAATACTTATAATTAAGAGGCGTATTATTAAAGAAAGCACATAGCTTTTAAATCTTTTCTGACTTTAGTTTTTTCATATTTTCGAAGATATAATCTCTATTTCTCCTCGTGGTAAATTCTCTTGTAAGTGTCCCGTGTTCTGGTCCCTTCTTTTATTAGCATCGTTTTGTGAATTTTGAGAATTTGTATCATGTTCCCTTAAACATAAATATATTTGTCGTAAAGAATTGTCATAATTAGATCATTTTTTACCAGTCTTTATGACTTAACGCTTATTTAAAAAATATATATTGTTTACTAGTTGAAACTTGAACTTTACCGTTTGCCATTCGTAATGCATATTTTGAATATATTTTTGACAGGCGCTTCTACAAAGACCCAAATGAGGAAAGCGATGAAAGTCCCTTCAGCGATAGTACCAATGGCGTTCAAAAACTGAAATAAAAATCACATTAATTTATAAAAGGCACAGTGTTAATTGTATCAAAATTGATTAAGCCTATATATGTAGGCTACATGAACAACTCGTCACTAGCTTGTCTTAAATAACACAAATTCTTTACTATACAATTTCTTTCTTTCTCTGCTAAAACAATATTACTTTTGAGATAGATTTTTATGTAAAGCTTGTCCTTCTACATATGTTTTCCTCAATAAATCCTTATCTAATTTAAATTTAATAATTAAAAGCAAATAAATATAATATTTTTAACATTACCATGTAAGCCATATCGTAGTGATGCGGGTTCCTCGCTACGCTGATGTTGCGTAGAATTATCAAATTATGTACTAAATATAAACCATACGTGAGTTTTGATAACGGCACAAATGGATACCAGCTTAGAAAATTTTTGATGAGATCTAGGAAAATAGCAAAAATTTATGCAATTATTCAAGCAGTTACCGCTAAAGTCGGTTAAAAATTATAAAAGTTAAAGACAAGAATAAAGTTATAGTTAAGCTTATTTCGTTTATTACTAATATATAAATTTAAACCACAAAATAATAACATACCCGGCAAATGTACATATAAATTTTATTAATATATGTTTTATTTTGCATATAGATGAATTTATAAATGTTTGGATATTAGTTCGTAACTTACTAATGCTTCCTAGTGAACAGCAAGTAACAATCAGTGTCAAACCACACACCCAGACGGGTCTATTTAAGGCAGCATATATAGCTGTTACTAAAGCGTCGAAGCTTCGCCAAAGGAACATAGGTCCAGTTAATAATACAGCTGCCATCATGAAGAAACCAATGCAAGTACCAGACACCGCATATTTCTGTTAAAAGCAGAATATTTCAGTCTATATATATTATTTAATACAATAGAAAAGTAATCATGTAATTAATTAGGGTAATTTTAAATATCATTTGAATTATTTTGTATTAATGATAGATTTTTAAATGAAACTAATATTTTCGGATTTACTACGCGTTTTTCGTTTACTAAATCCGAAAATATTACATACATAGTTTCATTTAAATGAGTACTCGCGAAAATTTTAGATCTCTTTATGATAGATCTTTCTTGATCGTACCTAAATCATTAAGTGTGTTATAATAATGTAAATTATATATTATTATAGTAATACTAGCTTTCCGCCCGCAGCTTCGCCCGCGTTGAGTTCGGTTATATCGCGTTTCCAAGAGAACCTTTCAAAAGTCTGGGATAAAAACTATCCTATGTTCTTTCTCAAGGTCAATTCTTTCTCTGTACCAAATTTCATTAAAATCAGTTCAGTGGTTTAGGCGTGAAAGCGTAACGTGAAAGAGTTTCTTTCGCATTTATAATATTAGTAGGGACAAAGCAAACTTTAAATCAACATCAAGTAGAATTAATTATTAAGATTATTTAAAACAATTGGTAGTAATTATTTTAATACTATTCTTATTTCTATCATATATAATTATATGATATTATATAATTTAATTAAAATATATATTTACAAGTGAAATCTTTCTTGTTTGCTGAGATGAAGTGTAATGTGTGTAGCACCATCCGCTGAAAAATCCTATGAGGTAGGCGGCGTACCGCGTGTGGCTTTTTATATATGTTAGGTGGAATTGTTTAGACGCCCGTGGATCCTTAAGAAAACTGTAAAAAAAAATAATTAATAAAACTAAAAATATAAATAATACGCTCATTTTTTTAACTACATACTCCCGATGTTTCGATTACTTTTCAGCAACCGTGATCACGGTCAGACGAAATGTGACAACCCATGGTCACAGACGAAATGTGACAACCCATGGTCACGGTTGCTGAAAAGTAACCAAACGTCGGGAGTATGTAGTTTTAAAATAATAAAATACGCGTAGTAATCCGAATAATATTAGATTCATTTAAATGAATACTCGCGAGTCTTAGATCTTATTAAAAAATATATGTTTCATACTAAATATTATGTGTATGTGTGTATTGCGTGATACATATTGATGATACAATAGGTAAAAATTGGATACAGGAAAGCTATCGATTCTGAGACTTCCAGAAATTTCATTACAGTTTCTCTGCCAATTGAGTTCTCGTGCCTAGACTTGGATTGTTGAATTATTATATGTATTAACAGGTTGAAACATTAACAAGAGACGTATATTATATTTAATTAGGAAGACCTATTCAATATTATCTATCATCACAGTTGAGTATGTGTAGTACAAGTTTATCTTACATAAAATACAAAGTATTTGTCGTTTCAAATTCCATAGTCTACGTAAAGTATGTGTGAAGATTCATGAACGGAAAACTGTTAACGCTGCGTAAGTAGTGTGACGATCCTTACTTGGAGTAAGCGTTAGTAAGAACAATATAATTAAGTATACATAATATTTTTTTTATATTTGCAATATTAAGTTAATTATCTTATATTTATAAATAGCTTGTGTCAAAAAAATATTTTGCACAGTTATTTTTATACCATAAAACGTATAGTCCGTTAGACTTAAGCTGAGCTTTACATTTGTGTGAGTGAAATTAAAAGTAGAGTTAGACAAAAAACTTATAGAATTAAATATTATTATATTTTAAATAGATACATAACATAAGTGCTATAAAATAAGCAAAACTTATAAAAAGACAGATAGAAATATGTATTATAAATATTATGGAAAAAAAATTATTGATTAATATAAATTTTGAAAAAACTACAAATTTTCTTCACTTGACATTGCGTTTTCAATATTTGATTTTGCTATCAGTACAAAAGGTGAAGTGAGGAATGTGCGGGGCGGAGTAAAAGCAGAATAAACCGGTTAAAAACTAGAAAGGATCGTGGCATTCAAAAATTTGACATCACACCTACACAATCCCTGTACACTCACACAAATGCAAAGCTCAGCTTAAATCAAACGCACTATAAGTTATTATTACTCTTATATTTTATGTCATATATGTATACGTCATATGTTATATACGTTAATGAGACTTTCTTATATTATCTTGATAGTTGTTAATTTTGTGAGCTCATAAAAAACAGTTTTAATGTTTTTATTCATTTTTTAAAATCATTAACATTAGCCACCTTTATTGCATGAAAATAAACATGAGTATGTCTTTTTGAACACGATATATGTATTTGAAATGTTATGAAAACCTTTGCACATGATATTGTTCAAATAATAATATTTATATAATATCTATTTGGGGAACACAGTCGTCATGCTTTGTTCTTTTGACAAAAAAAAATCGTTTGCAAAAAATTCTATCCTTAGCAAAAATAATAATCACAATCTTAAACAAAAATAATGGGATGGAATAAGAATGGAAAACATTATTTTTTGACACAAAAATTCATTAATAAATATTAACTTTCGTAACTTACTGAGTTGGAAAAATAAATAACAAAAAATAAACAGTTAACTCACTCATAAGTAAACATCAGTGTTGCTTGTAGTTTATACAAGTAATTGATGATCCCCGGAGTGATGATGGCCGCTCCAGTGATGATGATGAAGAGCATTTTACCAATGGATGGAAATCTTCGGTAGATACCAAACAGTAGTAGCGTCAGTACAAAGTAGTGGAAGTCGCAGGGAATGTACCAGCTTACTACTATACACTGAAAATGTACTACATACATAAAGTATTCTACATACTTAATAATATTTAAATTATTATTTCTTTTACTTAATGTAACCTATATATTAACGAGAGTAACGCGCGTGCGCTTAGTGAGCGGTCGTGTCATTGCTTTAAAAATGGCGTCGACTTCGAAAGTTATTAAATGTAATAGTTGTAATATTGTAATATGTGAAGTGTTGGCGTACATCCAAAATAAGATGGATGTAATGGACGAAGAGAGTCTAGTGAGATTGTGTGTGACTAGCTTCTCAGAAGAGGATGTTGAAGCGGCGAAAGGTTTATTATACGAGTCGATTACGACAAATAGGCGTAAAATCTCCAGAAAAAGAGAAGGGAAGTCGCAGAGAGATCTATCTGATATAATAACGCTGCTTAAAGAAACCGATCCAGAAGAAGTACCGGTATTCGTTGCGCGGGAGTTGCATAAGTTGCCGCCGATAACGTTCGACCATTTGGATGGAAGTAAACTGCTAAAGGATATGTTAGTTCTACAAAATGAGTTAAAAATAATAAAGGAAAGCTATGTAACTAACGAGCAATTTGAGGAATTAAAATCATTGTATAATAATAACACAGGAGGTACCCCGAGAAATAGGTTTCCTGACCTACCGCAGAACATTGAACGCACGCCCGTGGAGGCCGACACCGCGGTTTCGACACAACGGCTGCGTCAGGAATGCGTAGATGTCTCTGAGCGATCTGAGCAGCGGGTGATTGGCGATAGCGGATCCGAGCTGAAGCGCAAGGGAGAGGAGAATGAATGGAACATTGTAAGGAAGCGGAAACATAGGTATAGATTTGCTGGGAGCCAGGGAAAGGCGGCCTTGGAGGCGGATGCTAGATTTAAAGCTGCAGAAATTATGACGCCATTATTTGTTTCTGGAGTCGATAAAGAAGTGATGGAGAGTGATATCACTAAATATATACTGTCCAGGACGCAAATATCAGTTACCGTAAAGAAAATAATAATGAAAAAAAATAGAAACTACAATGCATTTAAAATATTTGTACCACACAACAAGATCGCTTTATTCTTAAATGATAATTTATGGCCCGAAGGAATATCGTTTAGGCGCTTTATTTACATAAATAGAGATGCACATCGACCTGATAAGGATGATAACAATAGGAAAGGTGAATTTACTCAAGGACATAATGGATAATAATGAAACTAATAATAATAAAACCAAGTCAAACTTTATAAGCTTTAACTGTAAATCCATCAAGAGATCAATTGACTGTGTTAGAAAACTGTGCAGATTGGCGGATATCGTAGCATTGCAAGAGACCTGGCTTTTTCCCCACGATATACCGCTATTGGGAACGATCGACGAGGAGTTCGCGTATACTGGGACGTCAGCAGTCGACACTTCGGCTGGTATATTCCGAGGGCGACCTTTCGGCGGCGTAGCTGTATTGTGGCGAAAAAGTGTTTTCAAAGATGTATCTGTGATTAAGTGCAATAGTCCGCGGTTAAGTGCAATAAGAGTCTCAATAAATAACCGTTCTCTTTTAGTGTTTAGTGTATATATGCCCACTGATGCATTGCATAATTTAGAGGATTTTACGGCGTGTTTTGGTGAGGTATGTGCCATAGTTAATAATACTTCTGTAGAGGCCGTCTATATGTTAGGTGATTTTAATGCGCATCCGGGGGAAGTATTCTATAATGAGTTGTCTAACTTGTGTGCGGATCAACAATGGTCTTGTGTTGATATGGATGTATTGGGAATAAATTCTAAGAATTATACTTTTATTAGTGATGCGCAGGGATGTACTAGGTGGCTTGATCACTGTGTTGTTAGCTACTCTGCGAGACAAACTGTTACCAATGTATATATAAAATATGACACATATTGGTCTGACCATTTACCCTTAGTTATTGAGTGCCAACTTAATATGATAACTGAGAAAACTAGTTTAAGGATAAATAATAAGCAAAACAAAGCTATTTGGGGCTATAGAACTAATGAGCAAATAAAAAGTTATAGTAATATGTGTAACTCTAAACTAAAATTAATAGATTTTCCGTCTGAACTTAGGCAATGTAGTTATAATTGTTGTAAATATAATAAACATAAATTTGTAATAGATAATTTGTATAAAAAGATTACGTTAGTGTTAACTGATTCGGCTATCAAGTCGAGTACAATTAATGAGCGCCGCCGTCGTAACAAAAATATCAAACATGTGAGTGGCTGGAATAAATATGTATATGACGCGCACAGGGAGGCGAGGCTTAAATTCTTATGTTGGGTTTCCCACAATAAACCTCAATCTGGTATCATATATGACGAGATGAGGGAAAGTCGTAAAGTATTTAAGAACAAATTAAAGTGGTGTCAAAATAATAAAGAACAGATAGAAAAAGATTTAATTACGGAACATCATGCTTCTAATAGATTCTCGGAATTTTGGAAAGCTACGGGTAAATTAAACCAAAAGTCGAGCCTCCCTGTAAGCGTGGGAGGTGTAAGTGACACCAAACATATTGCCGAATTGTTTAAGGAACATTTCACTGTGAAATCGCCGCGCGGTCCCTCGACTAAAAATTCTGAGGCCGTCATGACCGGTGACATGTATCTTGTCACAGGTAAACAAATTCGTAGAATAGTTAGTAAAATGTCCAGGGGTAAGTCACCGGGGCATGACGGGCTCAGTATTGAACATTTAAAATACGCGGGAGTGCATCTACCGCGTGTGTTGGCTATGTTCTTTAACATATGTTTGAGTCACTCGTACTTGCCGGATGATCTTATAAAATCGATTACGGTACCGATTGTTAAAAACAAAACGGGTGATTTGTCAGATAAATGTAACTATAGGCCGATATCCTTAGCAACGGTAGTGGCGAAGGTGTTGGACAGTGTGCTTGACGAGGAGCTGGATAAGCATCTCAATATTCATGACGCGCAGTTTGGCTACAGAGCTGGACTCTCGACTGAAAGCGCTATTTTGAGTGTGAAGCACACTGTACGATACTATGCGAAGAGAAGTACACCTGTCTACGCTTGCTTCCTTGATTTATCCAGGGCGTTTGATCTGGTATCCTATGATGTCTTATGGGATAAGCTGGCGAAGACAGGGGTGCATACACAGGTGCAACACCTGTTTCAATACTGGTACCGTAATCAAAAAAATTGTGTTAGATGGGCGGACAGTTGTTCTGAATCGTACAGGCTGGAGTGCGGGGTGAGGCAGGGTGGGCTGACCTCTCCAAAGCTATTCAATCTCTATGTCAATGAGCTCATAGTTGGGCTCAGCAGTACTCGTGTCGGATGTCGGATTGATGACGTTTGTATGAACAATTTTAGTTACGCCGATGACATGGTTCTGCTGACCCCATCTGTTAGCGCAATGAGACAATTACTTACTATATGTGAAAAGTACAGTCGCGATCACGGGCTGCTGTATAACTGTCAAAAAAGTGAATACTTGGTCTTCGGGGCCGCCGGTAAATATCCGTCCATAGTGCCCGCCATGAAGCTGAATGGTACTGAATTAAAACGGGTGAAACAGTTTAAATACCTGGGTCACTATGTTACTGAGGGACTAGACGACCAAGTAGACATAGAGAGGGAACGCAGAGCGCTGGCGGTTAGGAGTAATATGTTGACCCGCAGGTTTGCACGTTGTAGCGCTAAAGTCAAAATAACTTTGTTTAAAGCTTACTGCCAGACACTATACACGTGCAGCCTGTGGTTCAATCATACTCAAAGATCGCTTAGTGCTCTGCGTGTCCAATATAATAATGGCTTCAGGATGCTGTTGGGGCTGCCTCGGTTCTGTAGTGCCTCAGGTATGTTTACAAATGAAAGAACTGATGGATTTCAAGCCATCATACGCAAGAGGCTAGCTTCATCAATAAGCAGGTTGCGGGGCAGCTCTAATAGCATTCTGCGAGTAATTACCGACAGGTACGACTCAGATATTCTGAAGACCTACCTGCGTGCCCATGTGCGATGATGCTGTGTCGTTATTTTGTATTATTTATTTATTTATTTGTAATGTACTTATTCCATCTTAATTTATTTTCTATTATTATTTTTTTTTTATTATTATTTATTTTTTTATTATTTTATTATTATTATATTATTATTTTTTTTTTGTACCCTATGGACTATGTGTTCGAAATAAAGATTTATTATTATTATTATTATTATTATTAATGTATATTCATATATTTATTTTTATTCGGTAATCCAACAGTGCTTATAATAATGACAACTAAACAATACTAAGACCAATACAGAATTACACTGTTAAAGTAGAAGTATAAACATAAAAGTAACTTAAGTATTAATTTATCACTGATCTCAGTACTAATTAGCAAGACTTCGTTGTGTGTGTGAGCTTGTGTGCGAATGTGTGAGTGTGTTTGTGTGTGTGTGTGCGTGTGTGCGTGTGTAGATCTGTGTGTATGAATATTAAATTATTTTTTTTACCAGAACGTATAGTGACTTACCATGTTATGTGTATCCAAATAATTACTCAGCATGATCAAATTTAGCCACCAGTTTCGACGGCATGTTCCGCTCTCAGCAGCCACAAACCTTGGCCATAACGGCCCTGAACCGGTGTAAGGATATACTGAACATATGTAGAAAATAACTATAGCGTACGCAACTATAATTCTGAAAAAAAATATAGGATATATTACACCATTTAGTCATTAATAACTTTGAATATAGAGTGATTTAGAATTGTAAGAATTGATAATATCTGTATTCATATATCTATTAGCTTTCCGCCCGCAGCTTCGCCCGCGTGGAGTTTGGTTATATCGCGTTTACAGGAGAACCTTTCAAAAATCTCCGATAAAAACTATCCCATGTTCTTTCTCAAGGTGAACTCTATGTCTGTACCAAATTTCATTAAAGTCAGTTCAGTGGTTTAGGCGTGAAAGCGTAACAGACAGACAGACAAAGTTACTTTCGCATTTATAATATTAGTAGGGATTTTATTTCTTCTTAACTGCTGTATAATATTTAAGTATTTTAGTTTTAGTACAAATTTAGTATATTCTAAACATTTGTAAGCTATTAAGATGTTTTTAACGGAATGTAACTAAATTAATTTTATTTTATTAATATTAACATGTTTATTGTACGTACCTCATATATCTTCTCAAGATTAGGAGTAACACGTTTGGTATTTTACTTAATTTAGATAAAGCCGACGAAAATAAGAAACCGGAGATCATGAAGAAGGTGTCCACTGCTAGGTCATTATGCATAAATATACTTCCTAGTATGCTTAGAGCAGCCTGAAATTAAATAAAATATTAGAAATAGCATAAAATATTAATGATTTAGTATTGATGTAATAAATATGGTCGTCGTAGAGCCTAGTAGTGTTGAAGTATGTAAAATGTAGTAATTTTTTTAGGCAACAATTTAATAATTTTGTCAGTCATAGAATATGTTCTAAGATAGGTCAGAATATATTCTATGTATATTTATATAATTTTTTTTTTTAATTCATTTTTATTTTTATGAAATTATGAAGATATTTTTTTTTTATTAAGAATAGTTCAGTTGTGGCTCATGAACTATTAACATTAGTCATGTTTAATATCTTATAATTTTTCCATAACAATGAGGATATTTATTGCTTTATTATATATGCGTTATGCATGCACAGGTCCTGCAGCCAATGATTACGTACAGACAATAGATTATTCTTTCATCTTGAATCTTTTGTTTCTATAAATAAAACGATTTGGTCTTATACCTGAAATCCGATCTAGTCAGTGTATTTCATTTTTACTTTAAATATATGCTTTTTGAAGGTTTTTTTAGGTAATATTATAATTGCGAAAATTTTGTAAGGATGTCTAAATTTTTTGCTATTTTATTAAGATATTTTGAAGCTGGGTACTCATGCAAGGAACTTAGTGATTTGATCTTTGTAATACCGCCATAAATTTAAATAGTAAAACCAGACAGCTTAAAAGCTATTGTTGCCCTTATTGTACTATATTATATTATTTACTCCATTTGTAGGCAGACGCTGGCTAAAGCTGGGAAATTGTCAGAAAGAAGAAGAAGTAGTCATACCTTATCTATTTGCAGGGCGTTACTAACAAGTGCTGAATTAAGAGCCCCATTTTGATGACCGACGGTAATGATGCACATTGTCAGGAATTTAATTCCGTAGAACATTTGAACATCATGTGGACTACATCTGAGAAGTTCGCCGGCGTTGAGTCTCATGTCGAATGCACTTATTAAATTATCCCCTAGAAAATGATTAAGAGCAATATTTTTTTATTTAATTAGCAGTTTTGAGCGAAGCGAGCGGAACGATATACCTAAGATTTAGGTCATTCATCCGCGGAGATGATCTCGGCAACGGAATGTACCATTTTTTCGCGGTTTTTATTTTTTCGATAGACGATTAATTGGGGTGTTTCAATGAAAAAATAGATGGTACGACTACTTTCAGTTTTAAAGCGGGAAAATCGATCCCACGTTAAAAAAAACGGTTTGTTACTTAAACGTTGTGGTCGCTTCATTTATTCGAACAAAGACCTTTTTACAAGCTAAGCAACAAAAAATATAAAGGTGCATCTTCTAGTACATTAAAATTTTTCATTAACTTATATAATGGAAAAATCCTTATTGGTATTATAAGGATATAATTATAAGAACTTACGAAGTGAAATTTTTTCCAGATTCTTCCTATCTCTGTTTAAATAAGTACAAATTAAACTCATAGCTGTCAGTACAGTAACGGTAGCTCTGAAACAAGGATGAACAAATTTTCTCCATTAATTTAATAAGACCTTCGCTTTTTTTATATAAAAAAATCTTAAATATGAATTTTACAATACGTGACGCAAGAAACTTAATATGTAGAGATAACATTACTTGTGCTAATCAAATTTATTATTAATGTAAATGTAAACATAATTTTTGGTTGCTTCTTACATTGAGATACTATTAAAAATGTAATATTTCTAAGACACCGGAAACATAAATGGGTTCTCTAGTTTTTGTTGAAACTCAAGCATTGAAGTGTAATAAAGCAAAAGTTTACAAAACATTTGTTTGAAGCGCATTGCGCAGAAAACTAAGGCAAGAATGAGACATACATAAAAGAGTAGAATAGTGGTTGGTTGTCATATGGTTTCTTCTGGTTTTTTTGTTGACATTCGCTGACGTTAATACGAGCCTTCATCCCAGCGGTGCCAAGGTGACTATGGGTCAGCATCACACTGATCAACCTCTCTACTGACTTCGGATGACATACGTCTGGTACACACATACCCCATACCAGCTCGTTAAGAGTTCTTTGGAATTTAGATTTGTACTGAGAAAAAACAACACGAAAATTAAATAACGAAGGAGATTCAAAAAATGCGTTAATTGCATTGATATTTCAAACTTGACCTATCCTTTAAAGTGGCGAATTTCTTCAGACACTTCAGAATTTAAATATATATAAAACCATTTATGTTTACTTGTGTTGCTTGCTTGACATACCCGTAAAAAATTAAATGCTGTTTGATACGGATCATACGGATAAGATGTTCGCTTCTTAATAGCATTATCCGGTCCTTCTAAAACTACGTCAGCGAGGCAGTACTGTGATCTCAGATCCGGGTAATCATCATACCAGGGAGGATTCATACATTCGTCGAAGTTACCCAAGTGGTAGCTATTACCGTACAGCAGACCTTGAGGTTGCGATGACACCGAATCCCAATCTATAACAAAGATCTAGTTTTTAGAGACACTTTAAATATATTCGTTCTGGTAAACTTCATATCTGAATCCAAAAAAAACAAAATTATATGAGTTATTCTTTTATTATAATCTACTTAATTGCACATATGCTCAAAATTGCAAATATGCAATTAAAAATTGCGTTAAAAGAGCGATTTCTTCTAGATAACCTTTGAATGTAATTATACGATTCATCCTTGAAATACAAGCTAATTTATTATGGTTCAAAAGATAAAAAAACATGGTTATAACTCTCAATTTATATACATAAATATATAATATGAATATTAGTCACTGTTTCAGTTAAAAAAATAATATAAATTAATGAAATCTAAGATTTTCGCGAGTACTCATTTAAATAAGACTAATATTTTCGGATTTATTATGGTATATCTCGTCTGCTCGTGAGTATGTAGTTTATAGTCAAAAATAAAAAACCGCGTAGTAAATTCCAAAATATTAGTTTCCTTTAATATAAATTAGTTTGCCATTACGAGAAAACAAAATGTATTTACAAATCCATGTGTGGGTTACATTGTTTTATTTGCAGTGCCCTAATTTCTTAACATCTATCAAATATATTAACGACAACTTTTATAGAAGTACAGATATTAGGTAAAACGATGTAGAGAAATACATAAAGATTTTCTTTAGAAAGGCAGGCAAGAAATATATTTTCAATAAGTTTTATATAACTGGATGCGTTTCTGTATAATTAATTAACGTTGAGATTTATTTAAAAAATTAAATACGCAACAATTAATAAAATAATTGCAAAAAACACACGAGCACATTTACTTCAAGTAAGACAGTAAACAAATCTGCTAAAATTCAGTATATTACTACCAAAACTACGTGTATGTTTTTTAGTGACTGTAAAAAATTGCTACTCATATATAATTAAAAAAAAGTGCTTAAAAATATTATATAAAAATAATTTTCAACCGAGAATAAAATAACGTTTTAAATAATTACATTAACCTTAAAAGTTTATTATGAATTAGACTTACTCCAAACAGCCCATAGTGTGAAATTCTGCAAATTATGCAACAACTGTAACGTTTTATTGAGACACGGTTCTTCATCTCTCGTCCAATTTTGATTCGTCAAACTGAAGACTACGTCTTCAATATATACGTGTCCTTTGTTCAGATCGAACGTTTTATGTATATGAGGTTTTTCACTGGATTTCATATAAACATAATCAGTTTTATTAACAGGGAACACTGTAGTTTCCATATCACTTCTCGTTGTATTCGTAACATAACTTCTAATTGATAGTAAGTTCAGAACAATAATGAACAGAATCAACTTCATGTTTTAGAGAGCTCTGTCTGTAAAATGACGATGTTTGAGGCGATCATTGTGTTATAACAAGAATAAAATTGCATAAATAAGTCAGGCAATCTTAAGAGTCATCAACAATTAAATATCTATTGTAGCGTTTTTTTTATATATGGAAATAATAAAAGGTCATGAGAAGTGGTGTTTTTTCTTTCTTTGTAATACTTACTGTAAAACGAATGATTTAATAAAGTGAGCTTCTGTCGATATGTATGTGTATTTTCACTCAATGTACAAAAGCTTGTGACTTAATGTAACTTATAATAAACAGTTTTCTTTTATATAGCTTTAAAATATTTTTAAGAGCGCTATCTGGTGGGGTACGAAATACGCATGACAATTTTAATGTACCCACCCCAAATGAAAAATATTTGTTAGGGTACTATACTTAAATGCTTTCAAACACAAACACAGATGGCGTTACACGAAAAGTTAAGTTACATTATTAAAGATAATAATAATTAAGTAATAAATGCTTTTGTAATTTCCTTAATAATTTTTTTCAATTACAAATTATTTTGCATAAGATTTTTGCACAAGAACAGTTTATAAACTGACATGATTTACAACCATATCTTTAATTTTACTTCCTATAAAGAACAAAATTACAATTTATTTGAATGTAAATGTTCAAGTTTATTGTCATATCAAATAAATATTATAGCTTTATTACTGTGGCATTTAATAATTTGTGAAGTGAAACGTTTAAAAGTGACTCAGATTTAACAACTTAAAATAAAACATTCACACATTTTATTTGATCCAATTAATGCTGTATCTATTTTTAGTTTTAATTGTATTAATAAAGTCGGTAAACTCATAAAGATTTATAACAATAATTAAATCTGGCTACCGTTTTTAAATAGGAAGGAAAGTTTTTTTAAGGAAATAAAATCTTTGGTTTGTAGCTCGATATAAGAAATTCGATTGATACTCAAATCTTGGCTATATGAGGAGGCCTTTGCTCAGCAATGGGCTCTGAAAGGCTGATGATGATGATGATGAGAAATTTGGTGTTAATAAGATTAACCTTAAAAATCGTTTTAAGAAATTTCTAATTCTTAATACCTTACAACTTCGAAGAGAGATGGGAGTGTGTTAAAAAAGATATGTTGAATCTCCGTGAAATCATATTTAATCTTGATTATTCTAGTTTTCAAATTATTCTATTGTTTTAAAATACAGATAGATTATTGTATTGTTTTACATAAACACGTATTATATGGATCTAAATGTCATACGATGTAATGAAAACTGAAGAATTTTTGTATGAAAATAATTAAATGAATTTTAATGTGATTTCACATCAATGTAATCCTACCCGAATAAAATATAGTTTAAATTTTATTCATATACTAGAAGACCTGGCGAACTTCGTATCGATTATAGAATCAAGAAATATCTATTACGTTTTTTATTTATATTTTTGGAGTTTACCTGTAAGCCATAAATCTCCGTGTTTTGAAGTGCGACAGAATGATTGACATATTAGTTAGTTGTTAAATCTAATGTCAAAAAAAAAACGTTTGTATGGGAAATAGAAAAGGGTTGTTTTTATGGTTTTCCCAGTAATGAATAAATTTTTTTCAGCTTTTATACCTTCCCTGAACCTCCACGAACATTTCAAGACTGAGATAAGATAAATCCGTTCAGCTGTTCTCGAGTTTTAGCGAGACTAAGGAACAGCAATCCATTTATATATATATATATACTAGAAGACCTGGCGAACTTCGTATCGCCCTATAATCAAGAAATATCTATTACGTTTTTTTATATATATATTTTTGGAGTTTACCTGTAAGCCATAAATCTCCGTGTTTTGAAGTGCGACAGAATGATTGACATATTAGTTAGTTGTCAAATCTAATGTCAAAAAAAACGTTTGTATGGGAAATAGAAAAGGGCTGTTTTTATGGTTTTGCCAGTAATGAATCAGTTTTTTTCAGCTTTTATACCTTCCCTGAACCTCCACGAACATTTCAAGACTAAGATAAGATAAATCTGTTCAGCTGTTCTCGAGTTTTAGCGAGACTAAGGAACAGCAATCCATTTTTATATATATAGAAGATGAATATGTTTGAACAGCAAAATGCTACATTATGATTTTCCGGTAATATAATGTAATTGGTCCAATATGAAGAATTTTTCAATTAAATCGGCAAGAAAAGCAACATTCTTATGTCTTGTATGTGTTTTTTTTTATTCTGAATTTTGTATTTTGAGGTTGTATACGTAAAATTCTTTCATACAAATGTATATTTTTATACGTGCAGTCATAGAAAATGAAAACCTCAAAATTGAGAAAATAACATTAAAATTATTTTATAAACTACGACTCGGATTTTATTTAATGTTGAAGTTAATTTATTTCATAATTTTATGTATAAAATGTTTCTTTTAATTTTATTCTGCTTTTAATTAATTTTATTATCTGTTACATAACATGAATGTATCATATACCAACTCTTTTTATTAACAGAAAATAACAAAATGTTGGATTTTTTTATATTTAACTGAACATTATGAACTAAAATGAATCTTAATTTTATACTTTACTTATTTTTCTGGTTATAAATATGTTTTTGACTAATATTTATGATTTTAAGTTTAATTACGTTGTTCATGAAGCATTTTGAGGAGATGACGTATGTTTGTATCCAATAATAATTCTTGATTTTGAGACGAAGATCAATTTTATATTTTGAAAAATTTATCAGCAATCAAAAAGGTTTATGTTGAGGTGATAGGTAAGACTTACAGGTTTTCCTTTACGCTAAAAATGTGGAAGGTCTAAAAGGTATATAACTAGAGGGAACATAGTTTATTTGTTCCTTTGTTCACATTTTTGATAACGTACTCTTTCGACTACGACATCCTTGTTGGGGTATAGTTCATTAGGACATTATTAATATGTAGATTCTGGACCATTTGGACCATGACTGAATCAGCGATCGATATTTTCATCTTGCTAATCAAGATGCAGGATCACTTAGAAATGACGTTGATTCAAACTGGTCATAAAATCTCTTCACATATTCGGGTATAGGATAGTAAGATAAAAGATTCTTCTTATTTATCCCAAAAGATATATAAATTTTAATTTAAAATCCTCTTTATTAAACATTAGTTTAAAACTTTTTTGTGGTATTATGAATGTGAACTTGTGTTTTATTTATTACGATTTTTTAAATAACAATTTAAAACTAAAAGCGATTATTGTACAAGCAATGTTAAAACTACACAAAAAGTTAGGAATACATAAAGTTTTTACACTATAATCTCGAGTACTTTGTGGAGGAAACACGAAAGAGTTTAATAAATCGAATGTAGGCGGTTATATAATTTTTATTATTATAATTATTTAGCAAATTGAAATTAAAAGCAACACTGATACAATCAGTGTTATGTGTATTGTTTTTCTATTATGACATTTGTATTTTGAGTTTGCATTGTTTTAGGGAAATAAAATTATTTCATACTAGAAGACCTGGCGAACTTCGTATCGCCCTATAATCAAGAAATATCTGTTACGTTTTTTTATTTATATTTGTGGAGTTTACCTGTAAGCCATAAATCTCCGTGTTTTGAAGTGCGACAAAATGATTGACATATTAGTTAGTTGTCAAATCTAATGTAAAAAAAAAACGTTTGTATGGGAAATAGAAAAGGGCTGTTTTTATGGTTTTCCCAGTAATGAATTTTTTTTTTCAGCTTTTATACCTTCCCTGAACCTCCACGAACATTTCAAGACTAAAATAAGATAAATCCGTTCAGCTGTTCTCGAGTTTTAGCGAGACTAAGGAACAGCAATCCATTTTTATATATATAGAAGACATATTAAGTATTTCACAATAAAAGAATTAAAAGCATGATGTTAGATTGATTTGTAACTTGAGCAATGAAAATTTATTTCAGAACAAAACTATTAATATAAATAACTAGCTGACCCGGCAAACGTTGTTGTAACATATAAAAAAATAGGGGTTGGTTATAAAAAAGTAAAAATTTTGGGTTGTATGTATTTTTTTAATTAACCATTATAAAAAAAATAAACCAAATAATTTCGTCCGTAAAAAAAATTAGGGGTCCACAACCCTTATGACTTAGGGGTATCAAAAATAGACGTTGGCCGATTCTCAGACCTACTCAATATGCTCATAAAATTTCATCAGAATCGGTCCAGCCGTTTCGGAGGAGTTCTCTGTGTAACACCGCGATACGACAATTTTATATATAAGATTATTGAAACTTTTTAAACTGTTGAGGTTTTACTCTTATAAAAAATTGATAGCTTTATCTATACATATAATAAAATTGTAGAAAAGTGCTGTCTGTACATTGAAAATAAAAATAAAAAAAATAGCAGGGGTTATTGTTATGTCGATGTCGTACCCAAAAATGTAATTAACTTTTTTTTTGTCTGTTTGTCTGTTCACGCTAATCTCAGAAACGGCTGATCCGAGTTGGATGCGGTTTTCACGAATATATTGTGGTATGCTTCAGTTATGCTTTAGTGTTTGTTTCATGTCAATCGGTTCATAAATAAAAAAGTTATGTCAAAAAAACGTTGCTCATATGACTATGAGTATTCCACGCGAACGAAGTCGCGGGCACAGCTAGTATGTAAATAAAACACGCGTCTGTTTAAAATGTTGTTTTATTAAGAACAATGTTCTATATCTATTTCTAATTAGAATGACTAAAATCTAAATCTACACCAATCATTTATGTTCATGTTACATATTTTATTCACTACAATATTTATAGTTAACCATTTTGTATTAAATTTAATATAATATTTTATATTTTCAACAACATCGTTATTAATAAATAATTTTTATGTGCAATAGGTACTAGAATTTGAAAGGTGCATTGAATGGAGCTGACAGCATTATGGAAATCGCATACCTATTTGTGTTGAAAAACTCTAAGAAGCTTTTTTAAATAAATATATATATTAGCATTTTACGTAAAAATAATAATTACCTAAATGAAAACTTATAAATCTAAGATAATTTGTTAGTTAAATTCTTAATTATTTTAAATTTACATACATATAATCTTATTACTAAATATCTTATTAAATATACACAAATGTTTTGGATCATACACCAAATATATTATATATATTTAAACATATATTTACAAAAAAATATTGCAGAAAAAAAAACACATTCTAATTATTTACAATACACTAAGAAATTTACATTCAAACAAAAAATTATAAATATAAAAAAAAAATAAGTCCAGAAAATAAAAAAAATAGTTGAAAGAGCATATCGCTTTATGTAATGCAAAAAAAATAAAATAAAATTTTCTATATAAATCTATTTTATGTCATTCGTGCTAAATAATAGTGTAAATAATATATATTAAATTTAATTAATTTTTTATATTAATTATTATAATTATAAATATCTATAGCGTTTTCTAATATACATCTTTGGAACGCGTTGCTATGAACACACTGACTAGAGTTCACTCGATATATCTTATAAATAGTTCATTTTATTAATTAAATCTTAAAATAATAATGATATTTATATAATGAGACGATTTCTTGGCATGAGCATACGATATACGAAAGATTTGGCTTTTATATATTTGGTAAATTAAAACTAAAATTGTCTGAAAATTAATTACAAATGTATACTACATATTTTAATGCAGATTCGAAATTTTAATAAATTTATATGTGAGATTGGATGATTTGTTTTTTGAAGAAAACGAAGATACGCAAATGTTCCGGCTATATTTTTAATTTGTAGATTAAGATTCTCTTTATTAATGATATTATATCTCCTTCTACCTGGCAATTTCCCAGTTATAGCCAGGGTCTGCCTTACATGTTGTGAATAGTTTTGGCTATTTATTTTTACGACCGGCCGCCTGCCTGACATCAACCCTCTTTTGGGAATCAGCATTAATCAGTGATGTCTAAATACTCTTAGAAGGTACACAGGTTTCGGAAAAATCACATTGGTACTTGCCCGGGCCAGCATCGAACCCGCGCCCTCGTGCATGAGTGGCGGGCCTTTTAACTAGGCCACCACTGATTTTTAATAATATTATATATGTATATGTATTAAATGACTAGACTGTTTTGGATGTCTTAGTTCAAAACTACCATTCTATAAGACATCCTTTACATGGTTTTCCCCAACAGTTCCAAGAAACAGCTAGTGATTTTAAAGCAATCCTTAGTCGTTACCACTTGGTACTTATAAAATTAATAATAAACGAATAATTATGACTAGTAAAATAATTTCAGTTTTTTCAAATAAAATATAAATATAGTTTTTGACTAGGTTATTTGGTAAAAATATCAAAGACTAGAATAGTTCTCAAATAACATTATTTTTGAGATCAAAGCAATGACTAGACTTGACTAGACAATAAATAAAAATTAATAATTGTTGTGAGATACTTTTACGTTATACCTAAAATAAAAAAAATATTTTTGACTAGCAGAAAAATACGATTAGAAAACTTTATTAATTGGACTAGATTACGAAAATGAGACTAGAATCTTAAAACTATTTTATTTAGAAAAGTGACTAGAAACAGCAAATGTAAATAAATTATCAAAAATTATAAAATGTAAATAATTTTTTTTAAAGTAAATAGATCATATTTAGTAAATAAAATGACTAGAATTGAAATCGAAAATCTCTAAAGTTAAAATAATATATGGAATGGATTTATGTTAACAAACAAAGTTGACTCAATTCCTATGTAGTGAAAGAATTATGAGACAGCTAGCCGGTGCATCTAAAAATATGGTCAGGTCGGATCGATGCGGTGACCCTTTAACTTACCGATCGAAATGCTTCATGCCAAGAAATCGTCTCCGATTTACGACTATCACTTAATAGAATTATATTAAATGTACTCAAATATATTAATATTAATATAAATAATGTAACACCAAGCTATATACAACTAACATTGAAAACCTCTAATTATCTAAACGTTGGATGTTTGACATCGTAACGCGTAATTTTGGAATGTTGCTGTAGAAGATCATATGTACAAATATTTAATTAACATATATATTAAACTAACAGCTAAAATATGCTCGGATTTTACTAATAGGCATCTATATTTTGAAGTCCATGTGATGATAATATTTATGAGAAGAAGATTGAGCTGTCGTGATTATAAGCTGAATATGGATACATGGTGTGCGTCATAGTGTATGGGAAACGCGGCACTGGCCGCAGGATATGACGTCACCCATCCCCACTACCTCCCCCCTCATCCTCGGATCCCGTGACATCCAGGCTGCGGGAATCCTCGGAGGAGCAGTTCGAGTGGCTCCTCACTGGAACGTCTTCCCATGTCTGTTCCGTCGGAACTGGTATTTTGTTCCAGAAGGTATTGAAATTGTTGTCCATTAACGGCTCCTGTTGGATATACATATGTTTCTATTGCAATACGAACTACAGCACTGTTACATAAAATGGTAAGGCTATTAATGAATGGGCAAAAACATTTGTGGTTTGTTTGCTTGGATTTCTGAAAGGGTATTTAGCTGGTCGATAAGCGCTTATATTATAATTGTTTGATATTAACTCACCGCTTGGTACGTCGGATATTCTACGTGGACCTGGCGGAAGGCTGAAGGTTCTTTTTCTACTTCAGCTTCGGGCTGTTCGTGGGCGATCAGATGTTTCTTCAGGTAAGCCTGCCGCCTGAACATCTTGCCACAATGCTGACACGAGAAACGACCTACATCAGACGTTGGAACTTCTCTTCGCTTGTTAGCACCGGGCACCCTCGGTTTATGCCAGCGGCGATGGGATGCCAGATTTGCAGGACAATTGAACACCTATTGAAAATGAACTACAGTTATAAAAAAACTCATTAATTAATGACTATATTTTTACTATAACCATGTACAATACGTTGGAGTAAATAACGATAAAAAAACCTGTATTATAAATAATTTAAATAATAATGAGCGTGAATCAGGATTAATTGCATCTGCATTTGCATTATTCAACTAAACAGTGCAGCTGAGGTAAGAAAAGTCGCGCAAATATAATTAATTCATTATTCATTGTTGTTTGAATGCAATTAATCACCTCCCCACCATTCGGATGCTAATCACCCAGCATCACGCACTACGTGAAGTGTCAATTAAGGTGTACAAACATTTTGCTACTGATGGGTGCACGATTCCCATGGAAATATGCCAAGTGTTTACAGTTACACCCTCCTACAATTCGGTTCCCACACGGAAACTATATTTCGACAACATTATAAATTAATGCATTCTAACAATGCTGTAACTAAGATAACTTTAATTTATAGCAAGGGTTTATTGCGTTTTTTTGTTTATTTTGTTTATGTTTAAGCTATAGGAAAAAGTTTACCTACATATTCTTACTATGTTTCAATAGCTTTTCGTTTTGTGTGGCAAATACGCACTCACATGAACAACACATGAACAACATGAACGCAAGTATATGTACCAATTAATTGTATGATGAAAGTATATCTACCTTATCACATTCAGGACATCTGTACTCAATGTGAACTATCCGGGAACAGCGATGCTGTGCTAGCGCGAACGCGTCGCTGTACAGTCGGCGACACAGTCTGCATATGTAACGTCCTAATTTATTCTCAATCGTAGCTATGAGAGCCTTTGCTTCCTCTGTCACTTCGACCACGTTGAAAGCTGGATCGATGTCACCCTAAACAAATATATATTTATTACTAAAATATATTTTAAACTTCAAGCATTCGTATAACACTTATCAAGTAAAGTAAGTGTTTTGTGGGTGTTTTTTATTACTCTTTACAAGCTAAAAGAAAACAAAATGAAGGTTTAATATTCCGGAAAGAGATTTATTTCATATTTAATGACCTTATAAACCACCCCTTTGTACAAGCCCTTCGAGTCGCCCTCTAAACTGTTATTAGTGCAAAACCACAACACAATACGCGATTTTATAGCGTTTAATTGTTGAACCGATAAAGAAAAGTCTCAGTCGTAATAATGGTAAGGTAAGAGCGTCTAATTTGCAGGTGCTTTGTAGCGTTATCGCTTATTTCACTATGAATAAATTACAGGGGAAAATTCTGATATGATTTAGTAGTGAAGTAGGTTAAGTGAAATAGAACATACCTTCCGTACGACCAAAGTCTCGTCCTCAGCTAGATCTCTGATGATAGTTCCTGACACTGGTGAAGTTTTATCTTCGTCGAACATAAGACGCCTCACGACTTTGCTTTTCTTTACAGGTTGTGGGGGTTTAGGTGATTTTTTTGGTCTCTCTTCAACGTCTCTGATTTCAACGATGTCAGGGGAACTTCTTTCGCTCTTATTACTGCTTGTCTCGTTCGGCAAACAGCTACGGAGCTCTTCAAAAAACTGCTTAGTGAATTTGAGCTTCTTGGCTTCAGGGCTGTCACTGTCGTTGGATACTTCGTCATCAAATTTTCTTTTTTGATTCTTATCATTTGTGTCATAATGACTGATGCTGTCAGTTTCTTCGAAAGTTCTGAATATTTTCGGTGGTTTATCATTTTTGTTTTCATCGGTGGTTTTTCTTTTAATGGGGGGCGGTGGTGTGCATGGAGGTGTTATTGGTGCAGTGGATTTAAGGGATAAGTCGAGAGGTACTAAGGGTTCATTGTAGTACGCCAGATATTGCTGAAGAAGGGTAGGATGCTGTTGGGGAATGAGATCGTGGAGGTAGTTGCTGGATATCCGAACCGGTGGTGCGGTGTACTGCTGATAGAATCTAGAGGTAGCGAAACGTTGGAAGTGTGGCAGCGCTGCTACCATGTTCAAACGTATGGAAACGTATCTTCATTGACGTATAATAACATTATAGAGTCTTCTCGGTTGTTTGTTTTTTGTCTGAAACAAAATGAAATTTGTTACGTACGCACTACATATTAAAAAATATATGAACATCGCCGGGACAATATTGTTGTAATGATAAAATATCAATAACAAGTGACGCTGCTGACTCCGCGGAACAAACACCAAACCGTGTGAACCAGAAGATCCTGATACCACACAAGCTATGGAATGGTATTGCTATCCTAACATCGGCTTAATCATGTAGTCTTAGTTATAGGTTATTAGTTTTTATATGTAATTCTTATTATAATATAAGTAAATTTCGTAGTTTTCCTGGAACCTCCGTTTGCCACCTTATATAATTAATGGATAAATAAAGAAAGAAAATAAACTGAACAAATCAAGTCAATAAGCCACAAAGGCGTTAGTTTTGTGTGAAAATAAGAAAAGGTGTGCTCCTGATTGTGAAGATCCATTCTGCTGATTGTAACAAGGCACTACACTAACAAAATTGCTCCTTTCTGCTAAATGATATTTCACACAATGGCTTTCATAGAATAACAAAGTTATCTATAAATTCACTTTATATTATTGTAAAAGGAACAAGATATATGATCAATTTTTTCTATTTTTATTAGATTTACTCCAGAAAATACATTATACACACATCATTTATGTATAGTATAATGTATATAATATTTATAATATTGTTCTAAAATATATTTAAAATAAGATTTTCTATATAAGAAACAAATATCTAAGTTTTCATTTAAAGGATTTCTGGTTGAGATCTCTATTAAGAGATAAGTTATCCTTTGTACATCACATTTCACTTTTAATGATGTAACTACTAATTTTGGTACATAAATAAATGATATTTGTTTTATTATTTATTATTCGAGATTAATTTAGTTTGGTTATGATATGCTTGTTGGCATAAAAAAAATTTCTAGGGAGACACCGTGATCAAATTAATATTTTCGGTTAACTACGCGTTATTTTATTATTTGAAAACAACATATTCCCAACATTTCGGTTGCAATCCGAAGATATAGTTTAATTTAAATGAATATTAGAAAAAAATCTTAGAGCTCATTAATACATATAGAGAAAAAACAAATTAATTTTAACATCCAAAAAGGTTACATAAAATTACGACAATTAATTAGTGGTGTTTAATTTAACGTACAACTAGTGCTGTATATATTGTACTATTCACCATAGTACAGATGGTAAATTGGTGTTTATGGTGTGGTGATGGTACGCACTAATTACCGCCACAGACTCCCACGCTCTCCCTTCACTCCCAGGGGAAAAGCACCCCATAGCGCTCTATATATTTTGGATTAAGCAAATACCATGAATAACTTATGGTCTAATGGTTTTTTGAGTTTGACATACAAAACAAAATAGTGAATAGTAAATAAAAGGAAATAATTATCGTAATAAAGTAGGTATGATTAATAAAGTTTATGTTTTTTTGGCAACAATATAATTAAAAGGAGTATTTGTTAGGAAGGCGAAATACTTAGTTTAGGAATAAATAGCACATATAATATTATTTAATATTATTATTTATTAAATATTGTAAAGATATAATATATTGAAGTCTTTTAATATTATATATTGGTAAGGATTTTGGTTGGGCGTGACACTGTAATGCGTGGGCGGACACTGAGGCGGGAACTTGGGATTTATTCTTGAATATTTAAGTTGAAGTAGATATATATATATATATATATATATACATATATTTTTTATATATAACAAGTATTCTATATATGTGTTATTTATAAGAACTAACCACAGTAATGAGAACTATTTGTTAGATTTGTATTCAGATCCAGAAAAAGTAAGCCAAATATTTATTATAAAATTAATTGCAATAAATGAAAATTTATAGAAAAATAATGTTCTTCTTTAGGTTTTATGTATCCGGGAGAAACTGTCGATTAGTGAAACTGTTCAGTAGATTAGCAGCATAAATGTATTGATACATTTAAATTGTATGATATAAAATTTAGGTATATAACTCAGTGGTGGCCTTGTGGTTAAGAAGCCCGCCTTTCATGCATGAGGGCGCGGGTTCGATTGTGGCAAGTACCAATGTGATTTTTCCAAGTCGTATGTACTTAGAGTATTTAGACATCACTGATTAATGCATTCCCAAAGAGGGTTGATGTCAGGCAGGCGGCCGGTCGTAAAAACAATTAGCCAAAACTATTCACAATAAGGCAGACCCTGGCTAAAGCTGGGAAAATGCTAGGAAGAAGAAGATAAAATATAGATATATAATATTTCAATTTTACCAACTTTAAAGTATTCATTACAATTAAGTTAAATATTACTTCATTACAAAAGTTAAAACACAAATCAAAGTAAAATTAATAAGAATTAATGTTAAAATAGACGTAACAGTGACAGTTAACAAGAATGTAAAGTAACTATTATATAATTATCGGTTAAGTGTCGGACGGTTAATATTAACAGGTTAACTAATAGTTAAATGCTATACAGGGTGGGTGTTATATATTAGTAAAGGTGTTCAAATATATAATTATACAGAATTATGTATATTTCATATTGAGGTAGAATAAAATGAGAATATATATATGTATATATATATCGTGTTTTTATATAGAAAATATTCTATAGATTCATTTTAAACATGATTTAATAATATTATTATAGTAAGAAGGGCATTTAAAAATATGTATACATATGTGTTATATATAGTTAAAAATAAGGTTAGTTAAATCTGTAAGTTATTTTTGTTATATAAAATAAAATTAATAAACAAAACATGAACGAATTTATAAATTGTTTAAATGTTGTAATTATTATTAAAGAATTGTACATAATATAGAATTTAATGACACTATCAAATTTAAAGAAATATTGCTTTAAACAGAATTATATTCAATGATATAATTAATTTTCTTCATCCAAATTTAAAACATCCTTATTCTGATTCAAAATGTATTTAAGTCATTCATTTAATAAGAAATAGGTATATTATATAATTTTATAAGCTAGAAATGTAATAAGAGAATATGAAAATTAATTTGTTATAGCCCACTTTTTCCAGAATAAGTCTTTAATTCCGATTCCCGTCTTAAATTGATTACAGTATACTTGTTGCTTTATACTTTACATAACAAAATAATTAAATTTATTCCTATGTATATGTAATTTCGGAATAACATACAGACATACAATTAGAAATTACTATAGAGTAATGCGTATGTTTAAATTTACTAGTACTATTGTATTGTATACAATAATTTGGAAAAATATGATAAAAATTGTCACGTATTTAGAAAATCCGAGAGTGAAGTCGTGAGAAGCAATATGTATTGTTAATTTTTCTCATTAATTTTATTAAAACCAAAACTTAATGATATCGTTGTTTATGCAAATAATAAGTATAACAATGGTATGCTGATGTACCGACGTCGTAAAAGAGGGTGCTGGTTTAAGGACATTTTTTTTTTATCTATAAAAGCAACCCTCCATTAAATGGACAGTGGTTGTTCAGTGAAAGGGGTTCGAATTATAGGTTGTCTAATATTTTTATAAAATTATATTCAAGTTAATTTTAACTGGACGATTGTATTTAATTGTTAAACTTTGAAGTGATTTTTATATTAAAGAATATTCTATAATATAAAAGAGGTTGTTTGTGTGTTATTATTTATCTGTGCTTTTAATATTTTTGTCTTTAAAATATAATGAAAACTATGAGGGAAAAATTCATTGAAAATTTACGAAATTATTTTTGTATATCTAAAATATATTATATATTTAAAAGGGTTCTTTGTAAGATATTTTAATGATAACTTAGTTAGAGGCAAAAGTTTTAAACTCAAAGTTGTCCAACAAAGTTCATACTGTTGCATATAACGTTACAAGGTTGTAAGGCTTCTTATAAACTTTGGTTAACAAGCCGTATGGTCCATCCAGCCATGCTATTAATATTAAATTTAATCACATACTAAATATAAAATTACTTAACACGCAATATATTTATTATTTATTTTGAAAATATTATTCACTGATTATAATTTATATTAAAAAAAAAAACAAAATCACTATCAACCGGCCAGTAGTTAATCCGTATAGGGTGTTACTATGGCGAAGGTTAACATGAGTCATACCTGTTCTGCCGCTGACTCAGGCGATCACCCCAGCACGTCGGATGTTTAGATAAAAACCTTCGGCTGTTCCAAATTTGAATTTTTGTTTATGGAACGTCACGGGGTAAGCGGTCCGCTCGCCGGCGCGGTCGTGGCAGGACTGGTGTGTGACGCGGGGTGCGAACATCAGGCACGGGCCAACATCAACCCTCCTACAGGATGCTCCCGATATTTTATTTTGCATATTTTTTTTTTATTTCACACCACGATCGCGATGTGTTTGTGTGAGTGGATAATGTTTGCGGCCAGTAATATTTATTTTATTTATGAAATATTTTTTTGAAATTGGAATATTCTATATTTTTATTTGAAGCTCTTAGAGTTAACTGAGCTGTAGGTATATTACCTGTACATTAAGTAAGCGCCAACCCTCATACATTATTTTTTTACCTGTAGATATAACCCGCATCTTACGTCACTTGTCTACGTATATTGTTCATCTATCTCTGTTTATTTGTATAGATTAGAGTGAGATGTATATATTATAATCTCGAACCTGATTCTCAAGGTGCTTCCTAATTCCTTTTCCGTATTAGATCAATTGAAATGCATTTTGACTGAGTGATGCTACATTAGTTCTTAGACGTGCAAAAAGAAAAAAAGTATAAATTATTGATAAGATATATGTTATTATATGATGAAATCAGAAAATATATAGTAAGGGTGTTTAAATTTTATTCATAAAAGCTTGAAGTCAATCACGTCGGTACATCAATATTTAAAACAGAGATCCAAGAGTCTGGGCGGATCCCGCCCTAGCGCCGCCCAGCCGCCCGCCCCGCCCACACAGACAAAATAATTGAATGTAATCGAATCATCCCTGTATTCAATTAATTCCCACTCGACTAATCACTGCGATTGTTAGAATGCAGCCTCCAAAGCTTCCAAACTCCGTCCAATTTACACTTTGATATACATCTGTATACTAAAAACATATTTGTACGTAATACAGACGTATAAGGCGCGGTATGACTGTTAGTATTTAAGTATTGTAAAATGTATACTTAATATTTAAATATTTAAGTTTAAAATTCTTTAATAAAGATTTTTAATAATAATCACATATAACTAGCTATATAGGAAATATAAATATCATTACAAATGTAAAAACTGTTATAAATTTCGTTAAAACATTTTAAATATAAAGTTATAATAAATGTGTTAAATATATGTAAAAGATCATGGTTTGTTAATTGGCACAAAAAATAATGCTTTTATAGAATCTTTTGTCTATTTTTCTACAAGCTTGTATTTTCCATATATACATATATGTATATACATAGTTTCAATAATACGTATGTCTGTTTGAACAGGGAAGCCCCACTGGCGCACGCGCCGGAAGCACTGCGCCCGCGCATCCTTCCAGTATCGCTTACCGGTAATTGTGAGTACTTACACTGTATCTTATTACAGGAGTACTCTAACGTTCAATGCACCCTCAATGTTACAGTTCATAAGTTATTGGAAGGTGAAAATTAAATTTATATACATACATATACAGGGTGACTGGTGAATTACTATCAATATTTAAGGAGCATACTCGGTACATGATTCTCATTCGAATTATGTAAAAAAAATAGGTACTTAATTTTTGACCAAATTTCCGTATAAATAAATAAAGTGTGTACACGTTCCAAGTGTTCCAAGTGTGGACGTGTGCGGCGGCGTGCTGATACAACAACACGCCGCCGCGCGCGAGTGTGTGTGTGTGTGTATACTTAATCTGTAGGGTGTTCATACGATGCGTAATTAATTACATAACTTTTGGTTAACTTTACTTAGAAGTTTATTAATATTTATGTTATATTAATTTTTATTTTGTCATATATGATCGTCAAATATCACGTCCTCAAATATCGATAGTAATTTACCAGTCACCCTGTATATATTTAAAATATCGTTACTCTTTAATTCATTCCTATAGAAAATCATATTTAATATATATTTTTTATAATAACAATATATCTTTATATATATAATTCTTCTGTGAGTGTGTATGTCACTGAACTTCTCTCAAACGACTGGACTGATTTTGATGAAATTTTCTGTGTGTGTTCAAGGGGATCTGGGAATGGTTTAGATTCACAATTTTGTCCGCTGGACAATGTTTTTTAATTTATTTGTAGTTGTTGATACAAACGTTTTTTTTGACATTAGATCTGACAACTAACTTATATGTCAATCATTCTGTCGCACTTTAAAACACGGAGATTTATGGCTTTAATAGGTGAAGTCCAAAAATATAAATAAAAAAACGTAACAGATATTTCTTTATTATATGGCGATACGAAGTTCGCCGGGTCTTCTAGTATATATATATATATAATTTTAATTATTTTTTAATGTAACAATATGTTATAATACACGGATGCGTGTATGACACAATCAAGTGTCCAAGTGTCAATGTAATCTGGTCGTGGGAACTCGCACCAGGAAGGATGTCATTCACACAAGTGACCGACACCTTTTCTAATCATCCCCTTTTCGCTTTTTCCTGTCGTCCAATATTTAAATTGTACTATTATTAAAAAAATATATAATTTAAGTATAATAATAATATTATTTTATTTAAACATATTAATATTATGTTCATTATTATTATTATAATTATTTTATTTACATCCCGGCGGTAGTGATTACCAGGAATGTTTATTCTAAATTCAAATTATAATACATATAAAAAAATTAAATGAATTGAAATTACATTTGACGTAACCCACGCATTCGAAATTCAAATATCGTTCGATTTCGAATTGATTCCGTTACATGGATTCAGTATTGATCGCAGTTAGAAAATCAGTGGCGAGGGTGAGGCGACCAATCGCGGGGCTGCTCGCGGCAGATGCGTGTGAGCATTGTACTGCGGCCCTTATGTTGGGGTCGCCTGTGAGAGTGACGCGGAATGTAGGAATATCGATGGTCATTAAACATTATAAGTACTTAACGTACTGCGGATGTATAAAAAGATGTACACTATTGTATGTATTTAATGAGATATCATGTTAATACTGACGAAAAAATATAGATTTTTCGAAAGAAATACATAACAGAACAATTGTATATAATTATTATTAATATAATTTGAAGATTCTATTTACAAAGAACTAAATTGTTTATCAGGTCCGTCGTCATGGCAACGCACCCTCGCAGGTGTAATCGGATTTAATCAACTGATTGTAACTGACATCCCACTACCCTACAACATTTGGGTATCGGTAAAAATATACCAATTAACTAGATATATAAGACAGGATCTCATTGAACAAAATAACAATATCCAATATGTTAAAATCAATAAAAAGGTTACATGTTCCAAACCTCTTTTTTACGTTAAATTATTTAAATGCAATAAATATTTTTATGATTGTGTTTATAGCGATTTTTTAAAAATTTTATTTAAAGAGTTTGTATAAGTCTTGTACAGACAAGTACATACTTTAGATATCTTGTGGTAGGTGTTTTAATAATTTTACGAAAAGACTTCCAATTTTTTGGTGTGAGTTATAGATTTAAAAACGGACAGTAATTTTGAATAATGGTTTAAAGTGATTCGTATTTCAATATTCCCTCATGCAAATATATTAAAAAATCGACGTATCTATACATACTATCTTATAACATATATTTTTTATAAAATATAACAACTATTTATCGTCATTAGCAACAGTTCGTCGCTTGATTGCTTCCATAATAATAATACCAATCAACACTACAAATATCTAACCCCGAAGCCGTACAAACACTGCATGTAAACGCACGAATTCTTTCATAGAACCCCCAATTTAATTCATAATAGCTATGCACGATGAGAATTCGTATTAGTTTGATAAAGAATAAATATATATAAAGAAATTAAGAGCACCTGAAAACGTCCGCCATGACAGTGCATTACTGTGAGCACGCGCACGGCACGCGCGCCACGCGCCCGGACACATGCACCTTGCTACGGTCTGCAAATAAACATTATAATATTATATATATAATTTAATATTAATATAAATATTTTATATTGTATATATAATATTAATTTACTAATTGTGGTTGTCTTAAAATTTATTTGAAATCGATATATGTACATACATTTACTTAAATCGATATTTACTATATATATATTTACAATACATACATTCATTAGATAAGTAAGCAGAATTGATTAAATTAATAATAAAATTATGTAATATAATTATATTATGTTGTTGACGGTACCATAGAAATGTTTTACAAAGCATTGGATTATTTTATTGTGTTTTTCGGCGCACGTTTGAAGGGGTCTCCTATATTCTTTTCCCTTGTAATGGACGATCTGTTATTTTGTGATTTTATGATTTCATACGTACTACGAACTATGAACCTCTCAATTATTATTATTATATACAGATTTGTTAACTTTTCTTATTATAAAGTTGAATCATTTGAGTATTTCTGCTAGAAATTTTACTAACATTATGACAAAAGAAGTTATATGTTTACAATTTCATCCATAATGGTTTTTTACATATTCAGTTTTTTCTTTTAAATGAAACTAATATTTTACACGTCGGCCCGTGATCACGGTTGTACAAAAACAAAGTGACGTAGTATAATCCGAAAAATCTTAAATATCATTAATGATTTTTTTTCTTTATGTACGATTCCAACTGATATACTTTGAACAATAATTTCGAAAGTTTATAATGATTGCAAAATTCATATCAAAAATCGATGTATATATAGATAGTGGTATATTTGTCAAGTATACAATTATATAAGCCGGGTACATTATCCTAGTTATCAGCCCGTATAACGGGTTGCTTTGGGGACAGCTGCGCGTGCGCCGTGATACAAGCAGGTGATAGGGACTAGGGTGCTTTATAGGGACTGTGAACTCAGAAAAAATAATGCATTTACATCATAGAGAAATATATTTAAATTTTTACATTATATAATATGTTATTCGGCTTAAATATTACGCATACAGCTTAAGAATTAAATTTATTTTTCTTTTATGTTTTTCCATACTTTTGCATATAGTTTTATTCTCACTTATAGATTGAATAATATTTAAAAATATTGGTCAAAATTAAATTCTCAGCCAATATTCTAATTCATTATTACTGTAATGACCCTCTGAATTTGAACATGCAACAGAATGGGCATTCTATGAACACTATAGGTATTTCACGATAAGTGTCTACTTGAAGCTAT